TGTTTTTAATACACCAAGCCTTTATCTTTGACTTAACCAAGAGCTTATTTTTACAGCAACCGTTCTGAAATTTTGTTCAGTGAAACAACAGCTTACGAGTTGTTAAATTGTGTTTATTGCATTTCTTGTTAATATTAACGTTGATGCTGAGAAATACGCTTTTTCTTTTTGATGCTTTTCTGAGGTTAACTTTCCTCCTTAAGATTGTAGGTCTCGTTAAGTATTAAGATATAACTATAAAATTGCAAAATCTTGCAAATTAATTTAACAATATTTAACATAGACTGTTGGTTCAAGTAATTAAATTTGTAAATATAAGTCACCTACATCAGTCTAATGTGCCACATACTAAAAGTATTCCTACAGGTTATTCATAGTAGAATATATAAAAAGTTAAAACAGGACATTGGACAAACTCAGTTCGGATTTAGAAATTCTCCAGGAACCAAAGACGCATTATATGTAGTAAATGTGCTAATACAGAGATGTTTATATGTAACCAAGACATGTCAGCTTCCTATAACAAGGCAATAGATACAATCATACATGTTTCGTTAATAAAACTACTGAGGAGATACGGCTCTGACCTTGGTTTAGCAAACCACATTTAGGTTAGCTCCGATAATATCGTTTAAATCTAATAGATTAAAGTGATCAAAAATAGTTAAAAGTGTTTACTACAAAAATCTACAGTGCTTTTTATCGATTGGTCTACAATCGCAGTGAGTAAAATTAATATTCTCAATACTACATAATACAACATATTCTGAAAGTCAACAAAATTATCACAAAGGCCGTTCCAACTGGTTTCAGAGCGGGTTTTATTCAAAACTCTGCTGATAATACAGAGACGGATTGGCACGGGTAAAAAATTGACTATGATAAATAAATTTAAAGACAAAAATTATTAACCAAAAATGAATCCAAAAGAGAATAATCCTTCAAAAAACACCACACCGTCTACATACTCAAACATACTAACTTCATTCAAATATCCGGCAAAAGACCAAGCTATTGTACTATCTGCCATAGAAGGAATTAAAATTCATGATTATATAGTTGCCATTGGATCACTTGTCCTTCCAAAGAACATAGTTTTTGCCTCGAAAATTGCAAACAACCGGATTTGCATTTATTTATCTTCTAAAAGAATAGTAGACCAACTCATTGATTCACACAAATACGTCAAAATCAGCAACGCGCAAGTAGAAGTCCGCAGATTAATAACTCCAGCATTAAGATTAGTCATCTCGAATGTTTGTCCAACCATTCCAAACGAAGTTATAGAAGAAGAACTCAAGAAAATAGGAATTATAGCCATATCAAAAATGACATTTCTTCGAGTGGGTATGTCTGAGACAGAATATAACCATGTTCTAAGTTTTCGGCGGCAAATCTACATCAATTCATTAGAAAACTTATCCATAACAGACTCTTTCAACATTTCTTTTGATTCCACAACATATCGAATATACCTTTCTATAGACGAATTTAATTGTTCTAAATGTCGAACAATAGGACACCGAGAAGTTGACTGCATTCAAATAACGGATTCGCCCAGTGAACAAATGGAAACAGAAGTACCTGAAAATCCTAATTCAAATAACCAAACCAATATAGAGCTAACTGAAACCACCAATAAAACTCCATTTGAAGTCAACATTCCCTATAACCCTCCAGCTCCTACCCTATCTATAACTAGCAACGATAACCCATCTTTAAATAAAGATAAGGCCAAAAGACAATTATCAAATTCTCCAGATGTTTCTGATATTCCCACATCACAAGACGTCTTCTCTGTTCCCAAAACATCTAAACCAAAAAAAAGGGCCAAGTCGACTGAAAATACATTTGCTGTCCTCGATCCTATTAAAAACTTAATAGAACAAAAAAATCCGCCCTTTCCTATAGGTTATTCAGAAATATGCCTATTTTTAGAAAATGCCACTAACTCTAAAAACCCTGAACTTATAGCAAAAGAATACACCAATGAAATATCCGAAATTATTGACATTCTCACTTTTATCCACGCAAATATTTAAAATCCCTCTTTAAAAAGAACAATTACAACTATTAAGAAAAAAATGACCTCAAATTATTATTCATCTACAGAAGAATCTGACAACGACACAATTAGTCAGGATAAATAATGTCTGATACATTTTTAATTCAATGGAACCTAAACGGATTCTACACCCACCTTGAGCAATTAAAACTTCTTATAAACGATTTCTCCCCCATTGTAATTTGTCTGGAAGAATCTCACTTTAAAAACAATTCTGTAACACTTAGAAATTATGTGCCATTTCTGAAAAACAGAAATGGAATGCGTGCTAGTGGTGGAGTAGCTACTTTCATTCGAAATGACACTGAAAATGACATTCGAAATGACAGTAAAATCATCAATGTTTGTAATATATACTTACCGCATCCTAACCAAGACGACATAAATGAACTAACAGCACCCATAGAAAAATTACCCCATCCCAAAGTAATTCTAGGCGATGTTAACTGCCATCACCCAGCGTGGGGTAGCCAAAAAATCGAGAAATGTGGCAACTTTTTACACAGTCTAATAAATAAATCAAATTTAATCTTATTAAACACTGGAAAGCCAACAAGATTCAATGCATATAACGGATCATTCTCTGCAATTGACCTGACTCTGTGTAGCCCATCACTAGCACACATGTTTCAATGGAACACAGCAAAAACTCTGCACGATAGTGACCACTTTCTCTTACTTATTTTAATCGAGACAAACCAACCTCTTAATCCGAATGTATATCAAAGATGGAAAATAAAATCAGCAAACTGGGTTTGTTCTCAAAAAGACGAGATGGAAAATTATGAGATATCAAATGACATTCACAAAACCGCCACGGACTTTAACAACATTATCTTAAATTGTGCATCTACATCTGTAGGAAAAACTAAACCGTGTAAAAGGCAGCCGGTACCTTGGTGGAATCAAGAAATCTCTCGGGCCTTGGCTGCTAGCAAGCACGCCTTTAATGTTTTTAAGAGACACAAAACAGAGGAAAACCTAATAAACTTTAAGAGATTGAGATCTAGTACACGATTCTTAATAAAAAAGAGTAAGAAGGAGACCTGGATTGAATATGTTAGAAGCATTAACACATCTACACCAGCAAATATAATCTGGAACAAAATAAAGAAAATAAAAGGATCAAGTTTACCTTACTCAATAAATGCACTTTCATATAACAACCAAATCATCTCTTGTAGAAACGAAATTCCTGAAATTCTAGTAGACGTATTTCAAAAAACTCTAGCGATTCTGTACTAGATCCGATCTTTTCTACACACAAGACTACCATAGAATTTGTAGACATCAAAATTCGCAACTAGATCTCTCCCATAAATGTACCCATAACTTTGCAAGAAATAGATTTTTCTCTTTTAAACTTAAAAACCACATCTCCAGGTCCTGATGATATTTCATCGATATTTTTAAAAAATCTACCCCAAAAATGCAAAAAGATACTTTTAGACATCTTTAATCACATCTTTTTAAATCATTACTTTCCTGATAATTGGACCAAAGCTATTATAATCCCAACTTATAAACAACACAATCCAAAAGATTGTCCCACATCTTACCGTCCTATTTCCCTCACCTGTAGTATGTGTAAACTTCTCGAGAAGATTTTAAATTACAGGCTTACATGGTATCTAGAAAATGAAAATCTCCTGACTACAGTTCAAAGTGGTTTTCGACGAGGAAGATCTGCTAACGACAACTTAGTGGCACTATACGTAAAGAAAACAGAATCCATGGTTATATCAAAGAAAAATATTAGATACATTAATCTACACGTAAATAATAAAATGATAGAACAAGTTCAGAATTATAACCATTTAGGGGCAAGCAACTACAACATCTAGTTGAAAGTATGAATGAGATATGTAATAACTACGGCATAAGGATGAACGTCAAAAAAACCAAATATATGACCTTCAGTAAAAGAATCTCCTGGATGACAAATTTAAGAGAGTGGTTTGGCTTTACCACTAACGAATTATTCAAAACAGCAGTAAATAAAATTAGAATCGCCCTAATGATATTTAATCTCCGATAGGAGAGGCACTCAAAGAAGAAGAAGGGCAAATATTAATGAAACCAATATTATGTTGTAGAGACCTCAGCGTAAATCTTAGAAAACGAGTACTAAATTGTTATGTATTTTCTGTTATTTTGTATGTTGTGGAGACATGGACTTTAAATAAACAATCTCTCTAAAAATTACAAGCATTTGAAATGTGGACTACAAGCATATGTAGAAGAAGAATGTCCAGGCTGAGAAACCTCAGAGAATGGTTTGGATGCAGCTCAACTGAACTCTTTTGGGCTGTAGTGTTAAAAGTTAGAATAGCAGTAATGATTGCCAACCTTCGTCGCGGAAATGGCACTTAAAGAAAAAGAAGACATCAATTTGCTTCTACCGCACTTGCAGAACCCTTTTAGACTGAATACTTTGCGCATAATACTGCAAAAAAGCTGCTGGAAAAAACTAATTCAATTTTACAATAAACAAAAATTGGACCCTCTTATGCATATTAATATTTTTAACAAAGTTATCAATAATTATTTACAAAAAATTATTTTTCTAATTTGCTAAGCAATAAATTTAAAAAAATGACTTAAGAAACTCTTAAATTGAAGGATTTTGTATGCTTTGTCAGTAAAAAATTTAATAATGCATAAAATTCCCTGCTTTAACCTACAGTCTTTAAATCTAATCGAGGTCCCAAGTTGTTTATATTATTGTCCTTTAATATTGTGCCTTTTGTTGTTGAATAACTACTAGATATATGTATCAATCAGTGTCTTAGAGACAAGGGTGTTTTTTTTACTAATTTCCCTAGTATAATAATTATACACTGAAATGGTCGTCCAGAGACCATACATAACATTTGTACTGGGTAATATTTTTATCTTCCTCTATATTTTTAATGCCACTTTGTTTTAATTGCAGGTGCTGTCAAAATTTGACGTATTTTTTACAATAATTTTTTCAATTGAACTGATGCTCAAAACCACTGCATATGGGTGCATCCTTCACGACGGTGCCTTTTTACGTTCGGCCTTCAATATGTTGGACTTACTTGTGGTTTGTGTGTCGTTAGTTTCTATATACAATAGGTAAGTGATTTATATATTATAATAGATCTATAGACTTAGAGTAAAATTGCAAAAATAAGTAATTATACACACAAAAAGTTCTGGAAACATTTAACGAAATTGGTCCGAAAATAACTATTTGGTGAACTAGTCAAAAGATAGCAACTGTTATAAAATGATCATTATCTGAAAGCAAATGACAAAAAGGCCAAATAAGGTAGTTTATTACTCGACACAAATGTATAGATGGCTTTGACGAGTTGAAATGTGTAGTAAGATATTAGAAATATATATATATATATATATATATATATATATATATATATATATATATATATATATATATTATATATATACAGGGTGGTCCTTAAGTAATTGTACAAAAAGAAACCACAGATGCTGTTACAATTAAAGTCAAATTGCTTTAATAAAATGTTTATATTAAAAAAGATACAGGGTGTTAAAGTGGAAATTTAAAATTTTATTTCTCGCTATAACTTTTATGTTTGTAAACATTTGTGTATAAAAATTTACAATTGGGTACTATTCAATATCAGGAATTATAATGTGATGCATACTTTGATATAGCCAATAGAGGGCGCCACATGTGCCACATACGTTGCATACATTTGCACTTAACTTTTTTGTTCTTCAAGTTACCGGTATTTTTGATAAAAAATATTAAAGATGTATTATTTTAACAAAGAAAAGGTATACTTGTTAATAATTTCAAAACTCAACAGTTTTCGAGATAATCGCATTTTACAAATCAACTGCATAATTCTGATTTAACGCAATTTCTCCAAGCAATGAAAGAAAAGTAGATAAAAACATCAATACTTTATTCGAGATTTATTTACATTTTTTATAAAATGATTTTATTGATTTATTCAAAGAATTGTCATCAAACTTAAGACGAAATATGTGGTTTCTACAAGATGGTACACCATTACGTTACAGAGAGAGCGGAGTGAGACAGTGTTTAAATACAACTTTCCTGAACGTTGGATTGTTCGTGGTAGTCATATTCGTGTGGTAAGATATTAATATAATTATTTAATTCATAAAAATTTCAAAAAATTACTTATTATTATACTTATAACACTTATAATAAATACCGCAGCAGTTTCTTTAGAACCAATGATGCTATTTAATATGAGACGATATTTTATGGAATATATTGACAAATGAATTAAAGAAAATAGTGGACATATTGAACACTTACTTTGACAAAAAGTTCAATGTTATTTATTTTAACTATGTCTTAATTTGGTTTTAAAATAAAATATTTTGATTATGGCTTTAATTTAATACAAAACGTAAAATGTTTGATGTAAAATCTAATTATTCTGTTATTTATCAAATCCTATTATTTTATCCTGCTGATATATTTATTTTAATTAATAATTCGTTAACTATTAACTTTATTAAATGTATTTTATACCAAAATTCAGAAGTATTGATGTTTTTCTTTAATTTTCTTTCATTGCCTGGAGTAATTGAGATAAATCAGAATTATGTAGTTGATTTCTAAAATGCGATTATCTCGAAAACTGTTGAGTTTTGAAGATATTAACAAGTATACCGTTTTTTTTTTGTTAAAATAATGTATCTTTAATATTTTTTATTAAAAATACCCATAACTTAAAGAGCAAAAAAGTTAAGTGCAAATATATGCCACAGATGTGGCATATGTTGCGCCCTCTATCAGACACATCAAAGTATACATCAAATTCAAATTTCTGATATTTAATAGTACTCAGTTGCAAATTTTTATACATAAATGTTTGACAAACATGAAAGTTGTAGCGAAAAATAAAATTTTAAATTTCCACTTTAACACCCTGTATCTTTCTTAATATTAACATTTTATTAAAGCAACTTGACTTAAATCGTAATATTTTAAAGTGTAGAATCTACGGTTTCATTTTGTACAATTACTTAAGGACCACCCTGTATATATCTATATATATATATATATATATATATATATATATATATATATATATATATATATATATATATACATATATACATATGCGCCCATTTTTGCTGTTTTTTATACAAACTTAATTTTGCGACACAATTAAAAATGGTTTTAATTAATTATTAATGATCTCAGAGCTAAAGATTTTTTATCTCTAATTATTTTACATAGGTTCCAAATAATATCTATGATGTGTCCTTTGAGGCGAAAATGAACAAATGGGAAGATAAACGAAATTCAATAAATTTATGGTAATACATTTTCGTACCATTTATTAAATTACTAAATCAAATATAAATTTTAATTAAAACATAAACATATACCTTATGTTCTACTTCTTCTTTGAGTGCGGTTTCCGCGGCGGAGGTCGGCAATCATCATAGCTATTCGTAGCTATTCATAGCTTCATAGCTATTCATAGCTATTCGTAGCGATGATGAAAGCTTCATTTGTAGCTTTTTATAGCTGATGTACATCCGTACCACTCTCTCAGGTTGCGCAGCCATGACATTCTAAGCCTTCCTATGCTTCTCTTTCCTTGGATCTTTCCCTTCATAATCAGTTGGAGCAGGATGTATTTCTCTCCACGTGTAATATGTCCGTGATATTCTAATTTTCTTGTTTTAATTGTATTTAAAATTTCCATTTCTTTGTTCATCCTTTTCTGAACCTCTTTTTTTGTGACGTGTCCTGTATTGTACTATATCAAAAATAATTTTTTATACCATTTTGTGGTCTTCCTCATGCAATCAATGCTACTTATCATCATGTCCGAGCGGTCGACTGGCCCTTATTTGTTTATTGTACTTAATAACACAATATAGTTTCCTTACTGGTTCTTTAGTAGTAGGATCAATTTTATCAAGGACAACCATTTTATTTTCATGAATTGTTGGTATCATTATATCATCTCTCTGTCTTTCCATTTAAACACTAGGCAAATGTCAGAATTTCCCCAATCTACCTCACCTTTATTCAATTTTTCTTGCACAGAAGGCATATGAAGCCTTTTAAATCTAACAATCACACACGAATTTCTTTTATGTTCATACAAATAATGTGACAAGATTAGACTGTTATAACAGTTGTCAGTAAAGAGTGAGTAGCCCTTGTTTAAATATGGTTTCATAACTTGAGCCACAATATTTCCAGTGGCACCCAAGCCTTTGATAGTTTCTTCGGTAAAATATGTATTCTTTCCAACATAAACAATAAAATTCAGAACAAAACCAGTCTCGCCATCACATATATAAAATTAAGTTTTATACCAAAACGGTGGTGGCGTTTGATTTTCATGTACTTTAAAAAGGAGTCTTTCCTTAAACAATATTATACTCTCATCAAAAACGAGGTTTTCAAAAGGCATAGAATCGTGACAAATCTTTGTTATATTTTTGTCAAAACCTCCTTTTTTTATACAGCTTTAGCTTCTGCAAGTTCATTGTTAGAGAAATGCAAATATTTAATAGTTTGTAAGCATCTGTCTCTTGACATTTTTTGCTAAAAACTGAGGAGTACAAATGAGGATCTTTTGACAAATTCTCCTTTTCTCCAAGCTTTTTGTCTCTGACTGTAAGCAGTCAATCCAAGAAATGTAGAGAACTCATCAAAATAAAGATGTTTTCATTTTTTATCTTTTTTTGCATAAAATACCGATTAGTTTTATCAATTGTAAATTTGGCGGTATCTTCTGTAATCATTTTCAAAAAAATAATCTGTTGCGTTTGGTTCTTTCGTTAAGTTCATTATGTCGTGTCCTTTGCTCTGACTATCATCAAATTTATGTGACTTGGGGACGAACTGATTTTCTTCCACTGGATTTGTATGTCACTAGAATCTTTTTCAATATTATTTTGATCGTTTGGTTCCTCTTGACTATCAGAAAACTCAGCTGTGTCCACTATTTTTTGTAAAATGGCCACTTCCTATGGGGTTAATACACAATACGCAGAATAATCATTTGTAGTCTACGGGTCCGGATATGCCGAAGATACATGGATGTTTCACCCGTTCACCCTCGCGACCTACCATCGCGGTTTACAGCGATGTCAGAACAAAATACATAGTTTGTTTTAAATCGCGATCGAGCTATCGATCGCGTGGAAAATTAAATATTTATTGGTGGTTTTCAATGTATCCAGACTTTCTCATATAAGCATAAAAGCTGTCTTGGTGTTTCTTAAACTCTTTAAACAAGTAATGGCATTCTCCTAGATACTGCCTTTTTTATTTAGAAGATGAGTCGAAAGTTGGTGATTTAAAGAAATTTCGAAACTGAGGTGAATTGCTTGAAAGATCACTGCCCCCATTCGGTCGGTTATCCGCACTTCTTGGTAAGTACTCTTTGATTTTAACACTCCTGGTTAAACAATTTTCAATCATTTTGTTTGCTAAAAGTTTTGTTGTGACTTTTATTTTTCTCATAAAAATTGGTTAATTTCAGCCCTTTGGCTCCAAAGATCGTAGGACTTTTTTAAGTTGTTTTTTACAAACAAATTTTACAAAAAGTACTCAAATGATCTGACTCATATTTTGCACACAATTTAAAAACGATAAGACCCTCGACTTTAAATACATTTAAACAAATTTTAATAAATAAAAAAGGTATTCTTCTTCTTAAGGTTCCATCTTCTAACGAAGGTTGGATATCAACATGGCAATTCTTATTTTACTTACAGCAGCTCTAAATAGTTGGCTAGAGCTCAGACTAAACCATTCCCTTAGATTTCGTAGCCAGGAGGTTCGTCTTCTTCCTACATCTCTTTTACCTTTTATTTTGCCCTCTATAATCAAACGTAGTAGCCCATAACGAGGACCTCTTAATATATGACCGAAATATTCAAGTTTCCGCCTCTTAATTGTCTGTACAAAAAAGGTATTAACAATATTCAAAAACGGCGATTTTGTTGCTCATTTTGCAATAATTTTTTTGTTTATTAACCGATTTTAGTTTAGCAGAACTTATTTTGTGTGTGTTTTTTTTTTTCAAAAAAGTTGCCTCAACTTCAAAACTTAAATTAGATAAGTTTTTAAG